CAGACAGAGACCAGACAGAGACCAGACAGAGACCAGACAGAGACCAGAGAGAGACCAGAGAGAGACCAGAGAGAGACCAGAGAGAGACCAGAGAGAGACCAGAGAGCGAGACCAGAGAGCGAGACCAGAGAGCGAGACCAGAGAGCGAGACCAGAGAGCGAGACCAGAGAGCGAGACCAGAGAGCGAGACCAGAGAGCGAGACCAGAGAGCGAGACCAGAGAGCGAGACCAGAGAGCGAGACCAGAGAGCGAGACCAGAGAGCGAGACCAGAGAGCGAGACCAGAGAGCGAGACCAGAGAGCGAGACCAGAGAGCGAGACCAGAGAGCGAGACCAGAGAGCGAGACCAGAGAGCGAGACCAGAGAGCGAGACCAGAGAGCGAGACCAGAGAGCGAGACCAGAGAGCGAGACCAGAGAGCGAGACCAGAGAGAGAGACCAGAGAGAGACCCTAGAGAGACCCCAGAGAGAGAGAGAGCCCAGAGAGAGAGAGAGCCCAGAGAGAGAGAGAGAGCCCAGAGAGAGAGCCCAGAGAGACCAGAGAGAGCCCAGAGAGAGAGAGAGCCCAGAGAGAGAGCCCAGAGAGAGCCCAGAGAGAGCCCAGAGAGAGACCAGAGAGAGACCAGAGAGAGACCAGAGAGAGACCCCAGAGAGAGACCCCAGAGAGAGAGAGAGACTAGAGAGAGCCCAGAGAGAGAGGGACCAGAGAGAGAGCCCAGAGAGAGAGCCCAGAGAGAGAGCCTAGAGAGAGAGACCAGAGAGAGAGACCAGAGAGAGAGCCCAGAGAGAGACCCCAGAGAGAGACCAGAGAGAGAGACCAGAGAGAGAGCCCAGAGAGAGAGACCAGAGAGAGACCAGAGAGAGACCCCAGAGAGACCCCAGAGAGAGACCAGCGAGAGAGACCAGAGAGAGAGAGAGACCAGCGAGAGACCAGAGAGAGACCAGCGAGAGACCAGAGAGAGAGCCCAGAGAGAGAGAGACTAGAGAGAGAGACCAGAGAGAGAGAGACTAGAGAGAGACCAGAGAGAGAAAGACTAGAGAGAGAGACTAGAGAGAGACCACAGAGAGAGACCAGAGAGAGACCTGAGAGAGACCAGAGAGACATACAAACATATGCACTTCTTTTCTTCACTTCATTAAAAACTAAATGTGTGTGTTTAGCTGATCTTCCCGTTCCACTGGCCCTGTCCCTACATCCCGCTGTGTCCTCTGGCTCTGGCCGACGTCCTGAGCGCCCCCTGTCCCTTCATCGTGGGTCTGGACTCGCGATACTTCGACCTGTACGTCCCCCCCGCGGACATCAGCTGCGTGGACCTGGACACCAACACCATCTCTCAGTAAGACTAAGACTAACGGTGCTTTCAGACCGGATCATGCTGCCTCGGCTTTCAATGCAAAGTCTATGGTGACGAAAGTTTGAGCGTCACAACGCACGAACATCTCGGAACGCACGAACATCTCGGAACGCACGAACATCTCGGAACGCACGAACATCTCGGAACGCACGAACATCTCGGAATGCACGAACATCTCGGAATGCACGAACATCTCGGAACGCACGAACATCTCGGAACGCACGAACATCTCGGAACGCACGAACATCTCGGAACGCACGAACATCTCGGAACGCACGAACATCTCGGAACGCACGAACATCTCGGAACGCACGAACATCTCGGAACGCACGAACATCTCGGAACGCACGAACATCTCGGAACGCACGAACATCTCGGAACGCACGAACATCTCGGAACGCACGAACATCTCGGAACGCACGAACATCTCGGAACGCACGAACATCTCGGAACGCACGAACATCTCGGAACGCACGAACATCTCGGAACGCACGAACATCTCGGAACGCACGAACATCTCGGAACGCACGAACAACTCTCGGAACGCACGAACATCTCGGAACGCACGAACATCTCGGAACGCACGAACATCTCGGAACGCACGAACATCTCGGAACGCACGAACATCTCGGAACGCACAAACAGACTGCGCTGTAGAGACGCACGGACTTGGCGGGAAAGTCGAAGGGAGGAGCAGGAGCGGAAAATGGACGCCCACAGGAGATAAACTTTGCTCAACCTTTCCTCGGGACGTTCGTGCAGCGACCAATCAGAGAGCTGCAAAGTGGTCACGGGGACATTAGTGTCTGAGCGAGCAGACTGAACATACTGTAAACAGTAGAAACAGGATCTATACCTCGACTTAAAACCAGGGTTGACAATGGGAGACTCTGTGCTTGTAAATATATGTGTTGTCATGCTCCCGTGACTTTATGCAACTGCTTCGAAGTGTGTTCGCCGATGCGGAAATACAGTTTAATAAGAAAATAAACGTATTGCGCACCTCCGTGAACACATACTGCTGTTATATAAAGTCCGTGAAAGGTCTCTGACACAGACACCCTGCATAGCTGCATTATTGGAGAAGATCTTTACACGAGAAGCCGCTAGCATAACTCTGTCAGCATTAGAGCCAGCCGGCTACTTCCTGCACTTCTGGCGCTGGCCAGGACGTTCTGGTCTGAAGACCCCTGCGTCTGAAAACTAGAGAATGCGCGTCTGGTGAGCGAGGCTTCAGCGTTTGAGCGTTTGGGGTCTGAAAGCACCATTAGACGGGCCACTTTTACAGAATCAATTTAAAAGTCTATAGCTTTAGCAATAATAAAGAAGCTAGTAAAAAATTCTAGCTTTAGCATAATAAAGAAGCTAGTATAAAATCTCTAGCTTTAGCATAATAAAGAAGCTAGTATAAAATCTCTAGCTTTAGCAGTGGACACATGTGGTTCTATGTATTGCACATTCTGACATTAGTTCTAATTATTATTGCATCTATCCAGGCTCCTTTATCTGCTCCTCTCAAAGCTAAGTGAGAAATTAGTGAGTAGACTCTATCTTGTGATTTAAGCCGCGGGTGAGGACATATTTTCGTTGCATAATCCTGTGATTGTGCAGGATCTGAGACACGGAAACCTCCCACAGGGAAATGCATCATGTACAATTATTACAAGATTTAGATTCTTTAAATAATGGCTCTTTATAAAACTAACCTGAACCCAGCTCTGTATGATACAGAGAAGATAACGGACTCTAGAGAGTAGAAGTAGCAGTAGAAGTAGAAGTGTGTGTGTGTGAATGGTTGGTGGTGGTGGGAGGGGCCGATGGCACAGACAGGCTGCCTTGCTTCTGTCAGTGTGCCCCAGGGCAGCTGTGAGAAGTGAAGCGTCTTTGAGAGTCCAGAAAAGCGCTGTATGAAAGTGATACATTATTATTATTATTATTTTTGGCAGTAGTAGATGTTAAAAAGTCCTCTCTTCCCCTGAGCCCTGCACATAAAAACATACAGAACCAGGGCGTCTCCCGCTGAATCTTACATAAGCGTTTGTGACTGAGGTTCACGTCCCACATTCGTCTGCTGCTTGTTTTGTTGAGCTGTCAGAGCAGATTTCTCTTTTATTATCTTCTCCTGGTGTGTTTTGTTTCCACCCCGGCCTAAGTGGATCCATGTGGCGTTCTTGCAGGAAAGAGGACAAGAAGGCGGTGACGTGGAAGCTGCTGCCGCGGAGAGCCTGCAAACACCTCCTCAACAGCCTGAGCAAAGTCCACCAGCAGCTGCTCCAGGGTGAGACCATAAGTTCAGTCGATAAAACCATCAATCACCCATCGCCTCAGGACCAGACCAGAACATGACATTATCCAAGTTACAGATGGTACTGGACTCTCAAACCACAGAACCATTACTTTTAAATATGCAATAAAATCCATGTCTCGAGATCAAAACAGTTTTTTCACAGTGTTTTCTGTCTTAGTGCTCGGAGATATGGCTGAAAACTATATCACGATATAAGTGTTTCATATCAGTCAATATCGATAATTGTTGATTGTTTTTTTAAACCTAAATAAAGGAACGACAGCCTTGCAGAGTTTGTAGATCGCCTCGCTCTGATTCGTGTCAGACTCGTGACATGACCTAGAGTAGAGTAGAGTAGAGTAGAGTAGGGCAGATGGGAATAGGGTAGAGTAGAGTAAAGTAGAGTAGGGCAGATGGGAGTAGGGTAGAGTAGGGCAGATGGGAGTAGAGTAGAGTAGGGTATAATAGAGTAGGGCAGATGGGAGTAGAGTAGAGCAGAGCAGAGTAGAGTCAAGTAGAGTAGGGCAGATGAGGGCAGATGAGAGTAGAGTAAGTAAGTAAGTAATCTTTATTTATATACCGCCTTTCACAGACCAGAGTCACAAAGCGGTTTACAATTGTTATTTTTGGGCACTTGTCCTCTCACTCCACAGAGAGATGGGAGCGGGGTCGCCGAACAGGAGGCGCATGCCAATCCTATTATACATATTTTTAGTGGTAGGGGAAACCGGAGTACCCGGAGGAAACCTACGCAGACACGGGGAGAACATGCAAACTCCACTCAGAAAGGCCCTGGTCCGGCCGGGATTCGAACCCAGGACCTTCTTGCTGAGAGGCGTGAGTGCTATCCACTCAGCCACCGTGCCGCCCAGAGTAGGGCAGATGGGAGTAGGGTAGAGTAAAGTAGAGAAGGGCAGATGGGAGTAGGGTAGAGTAGGGCAGATGGGAGTAGAGTAGAGTAGGGTATAATAGAGTAGGGCAGATGGGAGTAGGGTAGAGTAGGGCAGATGGGAGTAGAGTAGAGCAGAGTAGAATCAAGTAGAGTAGGGCAGATGGGAGTAGGGTAGAGTAGAGTAGAGCAGAGCGAAGTAGAGTCAAGTAGAGGAGGGCAGATGGGAGTAGGGTAGAGTAGGGCAGATGGGAGTAGAGTAGAGTAGGGTATAATAGAGTAGGGCAGATGGGAGTAGAGTAGAGCAGAGCAGAGTAGAGTCAAGTAGAGTAGAGTCAAGTAGAGTAGGGCAGATGGGAGCAGGGTAGAGTAGAGTAGAGCAGAGTAGAGTCAAGTAGAGTAGGGCAGATGGGAGTAGGGTAGAGTAGGGCAGATGAGAGTAGAGTAGGGCAGATGGGAGTAGGGTAGAGTACAGTATAGTAGAGTAGGGCAGATGGGAGTAGAGTAGAGTAGGGTATAATAGAGTAGGGCAGATGGGAGTAGGGTAGAGTAGGGCAGATGGGAGTAGAGTAGAGCAGAGCGGAGTAGAGTCAAGTAGCGTAGGGCAGATGGGAGCAGGGTAGAGTAGAGTAGAGCAGAGTAGAGTCAAGTAGAGTAGGGCAGATGGGAGTAGGGTAGAGCAGGGCAGATGAGAGTAGAGTAGGGCAGATGGGAGTAGGGTAGAGTAGAGTATAGTAGAGTAGGGCAGATGGGAGTAGGGCAGATGGGAGTAGAGTAGAGTAGGGTATAATAGAGTAGGGCAGATGGGAGTAGGGTAGAGTAGGGCAGATGGGAGTAGAGTAGAGCAGAGCAGAGTAGAATCAAGTAGAGTAGGGCAGATGGGAGTAGGGTAGAGTAGAGCAGAGCAGAGCGGAGTAGAGTCAAGTAGAGTAGAGTCAAGTACAGTAGGGCAGATGGGAGTAGGGTATAGTAGGGCAGATGGGAGTAGAGCAGAGTAGAGTCAAGTAGAGTAGAGTCAAGTACAGTAGGGCAGATGGGAGTAGGGTAGAGTAGAGTAGGGCAGATGGGAGTAGGGTAGAGTAGGGCAGATGGGAGTAGGGTAGCGTAGAGTAGGGCAGATGGGAGTAGGGTAGAGTAGGGCAGATGGGAGTAGGGTAGAGTAGGGCAGATGGGAGTAGGGTAGAGTAGAGTAGGGCAGATGGGAGTAGGGTAGAGTAGGGCAGATGGGAGTAGGGTAGCGTAGAGTAGGGCAGATGGGAGTAGGGTAGAGTAGAGTAGGGCAGATGGGAATAGGGTAGAGTAGAGTAGGGCAGATGGGAATAGGGTAGAGTAGAGTAGGGCTGGTGGAAACAGCGTTTTGGTTTCCTGTTGAAAGTAACATTTAGTTAAACAAAAATTAAAGCTGTTATTTTAAAACTCCTTCAAAGGAGACATTAAAGAAATCGACCAATCACAGCTGCTGCCTGTGTCTGACCAAACCGAAGGAGACAATGTTTTAAACTAAATCTAAACTACATATTTAAAACCTGTAGTGATTTCTTTTGAACAGACTTTGATCTTCCTCCTCTGGTGAGCAGGAAGTGTAGAGTTCAGTGTAACTGGATCTGCGCAGCTGGACTGGGCCAGACGCCTTTTTGCTGCGGCTACAAAATACTAAATGTGGTTTTGAACAGATGGAGTTCATTTAGAAATCTAAATGTACAAAAGTGTAAATCTACACCCGGCGACCGGAGTTCAAACGACCGAAGCTACACTCGCTAACGTTTAGCAAAGGAACAAGTGAAAAGACATTAAAGGCAAATGAAAAGGTACTTTTTTGACTAAAATGTCAAACAGAGAAGTTGTTCTTTAGATAAAAGTAATCCAGAGATATTCCTTAAACCTATAATAGAGAGACCAGAGAGAGACCAGAGAGAGAGACCAGAGAGAGAGACCAGAGAGAGACCAGAGAGAGACCAGACAGAGACCAGACAGAGACCAGACAGAGACCAGACAGAGACCAGACAGAGACCAGAGAGAGACCAGAGAGAGACCAGACAGAGACCAGACAGAGACCAGAGAGAGACCAGAGAGAGACCAGAGAGAGACCAGAGAGAGACCAGAGAGAGACCAGAGAGAGACCAGAGAGAGACCAGAGAGAGACCAGAGAGAGAGAGATCTCGCACCGTTTTTATTGATCGGTTTCACATTGACCATTGTTCCCTGCTGTATGTTTTTATTTTATTTTTATTGTATTTATTTATTTGATAAAGGAGGAACAATACATATTAATGAACATTTTCACAAATGTAAATATGCCAGATTATAGCCTTAGGCTAATTTCCATCTGCAGACCCCCAGCAGGTTGGTGTTACACACAAGTTAGTAAAAACATACAGACACACTATGTATATACAGAGAGACAGGAACAGTGATCGCATCATGTTAGAACAAGCAGCAAGAGTGGACAGCAGAAACACTTCATCTGTATTGCACAAACCCGAGTATTGCACATGCCCTGACTGACCTGGTATTACACTGAACCATTCTGTATTGCACCACTCTAGCTTGTTTTATTTATATATTTATCTGGTTCACACTGGGGACTTTTGCACATGTTTTCCAATGTGGTTTTACTGCAAATGGTGAATAAACTGAATCTGAATAAACAGGTTAAAGGGCCTGTATGTAACTTATGTCTGAGAATACTGCCTCCTCCGTCATAAATCTACCTAATCTACTCTAGTGTAGAACTGAGGGTCCTCTATCTGCTGTGGTTGTTCAGGGGGCCCTGTGAACCGGGACGACCTGCAGACGGAGCCCGCCATGACGGACTGTGAGCTGGAAGGAGGCAAGAGTCTGCAGACGCTGGAGCTGGAGATCCAAGAGGCTTTCCTGCGCTTCATGGCGGCCATCTTGAGAGGGTACCGGTCCTACCTGCTCCCCATCACCCAGGCACCCTCCGAGAAGACCACAGACGCCAGCTCTCTGT